TGTCCCTAGGTCTGAAGTGGGTCACTTGTAGACAGCATATATACGGGTCTTGTTTTTGTATCCATTCTGCCAGTTGTATCTTTTGGTTGGAGCATTTAATCTATTTACATTTAAGGTAGTTATCAATATTTATGTTCCTATTACCATTTTCTTAATTGTTTTTGTAGGTCTTTTCCTTCCCTTATGTTTCCTGCCTAGAGAAGTTCCTTTAGCATTTGTTGTACAGCTGGTTTGGTGGTGCAGATTTCTCTTATCTTTTGCTTGTCTGTAAAGGTTTTAATTTCTCCGTCGCATCTGAATGAGATCCTTGCTTGGTAGAGTAATCTTGGTTGTAGATTTTTCCCATTCTTCGCTTTAAATATGTCCTGCCACTCCCTTCTGGCTTGCAGAGTTTCTGCTGAAAGTTCAGCTGTTAACCTTATGGGGATTCCCTTGTATGTTATTTGTTACTTTTCCCTTGCTGCTTAATATTTTTCTTTGTACTTAATTTTTGATAGTTTGACTAATATGTGCCTTAGCCTGTTTCTCCTTGGATTTATCCTGTATCGGACTCTCTGTGCTTCCTGGACTTCATTGACTATTTACTTTCCCATATTAGGGAAGTTTTCAGCTATAATCTCTTCAAATATTGTCTCAGTCCCTTTGCTTTTCTTTTCTTCTTCTGGGACCCCTATAATTCGAATGTTGGTGCATTTAATATTGTCCCAGAGGTCTCTGAGAGTGTCCTCAATTCTTTTCATTCTTTTTTCTTTTTTCTGCTTTGCAGTAGTTATTTCCACTATTTTGTCTTCCAGGTCACTTATCCGTTCTTCTGCCTCAGTTATTCTGCTATTGATTCCTTCTAGAGAATTTTTAATTGTATTTGTTGTGTTGTTCATCATTGTTTGTTTGTGCTTTAGTTTTTCCAGGTCCTTGTTAAACGTTTCTTGTAATTTCTCCATTCTATTTCTGAGATTTTGGATCATCTTTACAGTCATTATTCTGAATTATTTTTCATGTAGACTGCCTATTTCCTCTTCATTTGTTTGGTGTGGTGGGTTTTTACCTTGCTCCTTCATCTGCTGTGTGTTTCTCTGTCTTCTCATTTTGCTTAACTTACTGTGTTTGGGGTCTCCTTTTCGCAGGCTGTAGGTTCGTAGTTCCCGTTGTTTTTGGTGTCTGCCCCCAGTGTCTAAAGTTGGTTCAGTGGGTTGTGTAGCCTTCCTGGTGGAGAGGTCTAGTGCCTGTGTTCTGGTGGATGAAGCTGGATCTTGTCTTTCTAGTCAGCAGGACCATGTCCGGTGATGTGTTTTGGGGTGTCTGTGACCTTATTATGATTTTAGGCAGCCTCTCTGCTAATGGGTGGGATTGTGTTCCTGTCTTGCTAGTTGTTTGGCACAGGGTGCCCAGCACTGTAGCTTGCTGGTCGTTGAGTGGAGCTGGGTCTTTGCGTTGAGATAGAGATCTCTGGGAGAGCTTTCGCCGTTTGATATTACGTGGAGCTGAGAGGTCTCTGGTGGACCAGTGTCCTGAACTCAGCTCTCCCACCTCAGAGGCACAGGCCTGACACCCCACCAGAGCACCAAGACCCTGTCAGCCACACGGCATGTGGCAGGCAAAGAGTAATGGTCCCCCAAAGACACGGACATCCACATCCCTGGAACCGCCTGGCTGGTGTGGCCATGGGGACCTGGAGCTGCCGGAGGGACAGGGCGGTGGCCTGAGGTGCACAGGGTGACCTAGTGTCCTCGGGGTCAGAGCCGGGCCATCTGCACCACCCGCACCGCCCAGCATGCCAGGGATTCCGCCTGGGCTTGACAGGCGTCTGCACCCCGGATTCACATCTGAGGCCCCTGGGAATTCACTTTTAGAGAAACTCTGTAGACAATCCCTTTATATTTATCTAAGTATATGTTTGTTAGATTTTCTTAAAACAAGATATAACTATTTGTACTTAGGAAATATAATCTAATCATTGTTTTCAATCATAATAATCATAAGATCTTCACAGGATTTTAGCCACTAAAATTCTCTAAACTTTACAGGCTTAATAATTTCAGAAGAGTTTTCAATTCAAATCTCAGCTGTTTTGAAAAATGAATAAAAAGCATATAAGCTCTTTAGCTTATATTTTACATACAAGCTCTTTGAGTAAATAATAGTGTTTTTTGAGTTATAGTTTTGGTGTGACTTTTAGATTTTATATCACGTTGGAAAGTAAGTTTAAAATTTTTTTTTACTTGTTTGTAATTAAAGGGTTCTATTCATAAAAACTTCTGAGAAGGCATAGTATTTCTCAGACTTTTAAAAATTTAGATTTGTGGGGAGAACATAACATTTTGAAGATATGTGTACTTTACAATTAAAAATATGAAAGATACATATAAGTTCATCACTTCCGAGCTATTCCTTGTTATTTACAATAAGTTTTGAGTAAAGTTGAAGCAATTAAGTGTGTTGATTAAAAAAAGCAATGAGAACCTTTCTTTTTCCTTTCCCTTACTTTCTCAAACCATTTATTATTAAAGACATTAAGTAGAGCAGAGCAAGGTAGGCATTCATGCAAAGTAGCAGTGTAGTACCACTTCAGCCCAGAACAAGATGTCAGAACCTGAGCAGGATGAGAAGGGCATCCACATATCCGGTAGAGGGAGGGTTGGTAATCCAGCATGAAGTGTCAAAGTCCAAGTGAAGTGAGTGGAGTGTCCACATGTAGGAGCAGTTATAAGGGTATAAGAGTCCTATCAGATTAAGGGGGGTGACCCTGCATAGGACAAACCAAACATTGGCTCAGGTGGGGTGAGAATTATAGCCAGGCATGTGGGTGGGTAGAGAATCAGAGCCCAAGTGGAGGAGATAACGTCCATGCAGGCAGGGGGACAGTGGCAGAGATAAGGTATTTGTTACATACAGGGGACTGGATAAATAAGTAAATATATTGGGTAATAAAAAGGGAGCCAGGTTTCCCACTGTCAGAAATGGAAGTTATAACTATGGAAATGAAGAAAACTACAATGAACCCTAGTAATATTGGATTGGAATTGGAGGTGCTGATGTAGACTTGGTGTTTTTGTTAAATACTTGCCAAATAGAGAAATAAATGTAGATATGCATGTGTGTGTGTGTGTGTGTGTGTACACATATATATTTATTCCCTAACTCTGCCAACTGAGCAGGGCTAGGAGCAACAGTTCCCCAGTAGTAAAAATTTTAGCCTTATATATTCCACTTTCCACTAGGACTCATTGGAGTATGGTTGATTCCAGGGAGAGAAAGTACAAAATGAGCCTGAAACATTTTCTTGGGTCAGAAAGCAAGAAAAGTACTTAAAACATGATGGAACATGTCCAAAGGACCCAGACGTCAGCTTGAAGAGGCTATGCTCTGTGCTGCGGATATTAAAAGCACCAGCAGGAACCCACAGGCCCCTAAAACTCTGAGGGAGGGGAACCTGTCTCTCGTATCTTAGGAGCCATTGTTCCAAGAGCCTACAGCAAGCCCCGTTCCTCTTTTTCTTTTTGTCCTCTAACTGCTTCGTCATAATTGCAGGAAATACACAATGGAGCAGTGTACCTAAAGCCAAAGCTTTCTGGCTGGAGCACTAAAAAGGGAAGGCCAAGGAAACTGGAAAGTACCAGGGAGATTGCAAAAGGAAGGAGCTCAGGAAAGCAACCCCATAAAGTTGTTTATGAATTCCTGGGCTCACCTCTGAGTTGTACGTGCATGAATCTGATCCTAAACAGCATTCCAAAGACTGAGAGGTGAAGGACTAGATGACCTCCAAGTTCCTGTACTGGCTGCTGGGCAGTGGGACAGATCCCAGTAGCACTGCAAACATTTTAAAAATAGAATCCATGATGGAAACGGCTCACAGAGGCTGGTAGGAGCTTTGGCCTGAACCCGTTGAGGCTAATTACCTGCTAAAACAAAAATATCAGCTTTCTCCTAGTATTTAAACAAAACCCTGAATCCAGTAACCTACTTCAGTATATCTAAAATACAATATTTATTTGTAAGCATGAGAATGTTGGAGAACCTGTCATTGATCTTTATTACCAGTCTTTGTCATATTTAGGGAGTAAGGATAATTTGAAGATAGAAAATCAATGGGTTATCAGTCAATATGTTTTGAAAAAATTATTCTTGTTTTTATTCTATAATAAAGTATAACAATTCTGAGTTCTTACGTATTGGGACACACTTTGAAGTGAGAATACATATTGGTATTTGTTGAATAGTGAAACTGAGTTACCCATGATCAGTGCCTATCACTTTGCATCGAAGTACACCCAGTACTGAGGGGAAAATAAAAGGATTCTCTGGACAGTCTCGGGCTTTGGATAATAGAAGTAGTAGCTCAAAGGATGCACTGCAAGCAAGAAATTTCTCTGAAATCTTTTGTTTTGTCTTAAAATTTCAGGCAGGTATAATCTGCATAATATAATGGTGTTTATTATACTATAGACATATGGTTTTTCCAAATCTTCATAGACCCTTCAGAAAGGGGAGAAACGTATATTTAGTGGCTCCAATTTCAAAAGTATGACCTTAGGCTCAGTTAGATGATTTTAGCCAGCAGGTTTTCATAACCCAGTACCTAACGGGACCATGCAACTGGTTTCCCAGGATAGTCCCATTTATATACCAGTTGTCCTTACATACTTATTACTAGCATCCCCCTTTTTATCTCAAAAGTGTACTATTTTAGAATTGTATGATTATCCTACCTATACCTTTTTGAGTTTAGATCTGAAACATAAATCACAACACTATAGACAGTTTGGAAGATAGAATAGAGATGCTTCCATAGCTTATCCCTGTAATCCCATAGTATTTAATCTTTTTCCGTATCTGTGTTTTACATGGTTGTAATTTAGTGCCTATAACGTTAAATCATTTGAATCAAGAACCTTAGTTTGTCTTGTCACATTTATGTATGCCTTGAGATTATAGTGTTGACTATAATACATAACAACCAGAATTATGAGTCTTTTTTTCCTTATCTATTTTCCCCTTTGTAGCAGGAACTCCAGAAGATAAAATGAGGCTGTTTCTTATCTATTACATAAGTGCACAGCAAGCACCTTCTGAGGTATGTCCTCTGTATGCAGTTATTGGGAGGAAGGGAGAATACTCGCTTGTTTCAGAAAATAGAAGTAAAAATCACTGTAACCAAGTAATTACTTCATTCCTTCCTTTAAAAGAAAAACAATTTCGTAAGGCTAGTTCTATTTACCGCTGAATATTATAGCCGTATTTATTGTCACCAAGAGAACTACTCACTCATGAAATATCTCACCACTTTTAAGTTGTTAGAATATGAACTGAATTCATGACCACAATTCTTATTTCTGGAAAATAACTATTCTAAACTAAGTTAACCAAGTTTGCTCTGCCTTTTGAAAGATTGATCTCATCATTTCTCATGATGTGATGATCCTAGAAGTTCCATTTCTTTGAGCTATAGCCACTAATACTTATTTTCCTTACAAGGAATTTCGCTTTAACCTAAAGTAAAAGTTTGGTAATATTTTGCTGTTGTTTTAAAACTAATGTCGAGGGACTTCCCTGGTGGCGTAGTGGTTAAGAATCCGCCTGCCAGTGCAGGGGGATATGGGTTTGATTCCTGGCCCAGGAAGATCCCACGTGCCGCAGAGCAACTAAGCCTGTGCGCCACAACTACTGAGCCTATGCTCTAGAGCCCGCGAGCCACAACTACTGAGCCCTCAACTACTGAAGCCTGTGAGCCTATAGCCTGTGCTCCACAAAAAGAGAAGCCACCACAGTGAGAAGCGCCCGCACCGCAATGAAGAGTAGCCCCCCTCACCACAACTAGAGAAAGCCCACGTGCAGCAACGAAGACCCAACACAGCCAAAAATAAACAAACAAATTTAAAAAAAAAAAACAAAAAAAAAACTAATGTCCATTATAGAATATAGAGAAGTCACTTGGAGGAAAATATCTAAATTTCCAAAAGTTATATAAATATTGTATCAATAATTTCCTAAGATTAAACTTCAGATTCACATCTATCATTTGATCCATATAAAAATAAAGTTGAGAGACTGTATTGCAGTAAAAAAGCTACTTTTTATATCAGAATAAATTTCTAAGAATGATTGGAAAATCTATCTTCCTTTCTAGATTTTTTTCTCACTGGAAGAGTAGATTGTGGGATATTTTGTTGTTTTCTTTTTCTTTAATAAGCCATCAATTGCTTTTGAGGCAAAAAATTTTTTTAAGTATGTAGAGGTAATACTGTGAAGGAAAACAGTGATTTTGCTATCGGTCTTGTTGCTGGGTTAGAGACCTGTTAACTCTTTCTAATGTTAACTTCGTATAATTTTACTGGATGAGCAACTAGCATAAGGAACTTGGGAATGACACCTAGAATGATATGGCTGTTGTAAACTCCTTTCCTTTGCTGGTAGCAATTATTTTTCTAATGTCAGTAGATTGTAAGGCTTCTTTTTGTTTGGCATGTTAAAACAGCAAAGTAAACCCAATATTTGCTTTAGATCAATTCTGCTTTATCCTAAGAATACATTTCTTGACTTTTATTTTAATTCAGTAAGGAAGTTCAGTAGTCCCCCCTTATCCAAGGGAGATATGTTCCAGGACCCCCAGTGGATGCCTGAAACCATGGAGAGTACCAAACTTCCCCCCCCACTACCATATATACTGTTTTTTTCTATACATACATACATACATACCTATGATAAAGTTTAATTTATAAATTAGGCACAGTAAGAGATTAACAACAACTAATAATAAATTAGAATAATTATAAAAATATGCTATAATAAAAGTTATGTGAATGTGGACTCTCTCTCTCAAAATATATTGTACTGTAGTCATCCTTCCTATGATGATGATGTGAGCTCATAAAATGCCTGCATGATGAGATGAAGTGAGGTGAATGACACAGGCATGGTGATGTAGCATTAGGCTACTATTGACCTTCTGACTGAAGGAGAATCATCTACTTCAGATGATCCTGTGTCCTCAAGCCATGATGGTGTCAATTGTTAGATGTCAGGAGCAGATGATGTCAATGGTTGGGGCAGGACTGATCAGGAAAGCACAAGTTTTCATCACACTACTCAAAACGGCACACAATATGAATTGTTTATTTCTGGGAATTTCCATTTAGTATTTTCAGACCTCAGTTGACCACAGCAACTGAAACCATGGAAAGCAAAACTGCTGAAGGGAGGGGATTACTGTATAGTTTTCTTTCTAGAAACATCTCTGTCATTAATGGGGGTGTTCCTTTAAGGGATTCTAATAGCCTATTTATATTTTCTTAGGAATATATGATTTTAAAACTTAATGCAGTTTCCTTTAATTTGACCACATTATTTTATTTCATTTATTTTTGGTAAGAATTATGTCTTTTCATAAGTTTAAGTGGTCATTAAGTGGCTTGACGCAAATTTTGACTACTGATGTAATAGCCCCCAAAATGCAAAGTAGTGAACATCTCTGATTTGATGGTGAGCTTAAAATTTTCTTTCTTTTAAATTTTTAAAATGGAGTCACTGTGATGATAGGCTCCCGTGACATATCCGAATTCAACTAGACTTTACTCATCAGGAAATAAAAAAAGAATAAGAAAGAAAACTATTTAAAATGTGTAGGACACCTGCTGTTCAGTTAATAAATTTGGACCTCTGCAGTGAATATGAGATGGGATAACCTGAATCTGCAGGTCCCCTAAGTCAACGTCATTCCCCTCATGTTTCCAATTTTGGAATATTCTTGATCAAGCCAGATCTTTCTTTTAATGCTTATCCTAAGGACAAGCAATCTGTGTCAACAGTGGAGGAAAAACTGTGTTGGGCTTACTGAGGGATGACAAAATACTGTACTTTATAGGTGATTTGGGAGCCTATCAAAGGTAATTTTCATTATACATGATTTTTATCTCATGCTCATTTGGGTACTCCCTTAAGATACCACTCCACTCTACTTAGGTGCTCATGCCTTTAGTCTAACTTTCTGATTAATCCAATGATAACAAACAAAATGGTCTCTTTCATGAAAGTAAAAGTTTTTGTCATATGATTCTTTTCTTATTTCAGGCTGATTTGGAGCAATACAAAAAAGCTTTAACTGATGCTGGATGCAACCTTAATCCCTTACAATATATCAAACAGTGGAAGTAAGTTTTATTTTATTCTTCAGTTCTTACCATTTAAGAGAGTACAATGGAAGTTGAGTTCCCAAGAAAATGGGAATGTTACTAAGAAAACTGAACAGTGCCTTGGTATTTTTTTTTTATTCAATGGCATAAATATTTCCTTATCTCCCCCACCCTTTCCACAACTTTATATAAAATAGTGATGCCTTTCTTTCCTAGACATATTTTTTCCTATATTTTCTTCAAAGATGTGAGATGAGAAAGTCAAAGACTGAAATGTTGTGGGTCAAATGTCTCAAAAACATTTTTTAAATGTTTTAATTTCACTAATAATCAGAGAAATGCAGATTAATATAATGCAAAGATTTCGAAAATATTGTGCCAAGGATCCAGGAAAATTAACTGATGCATTTATACTCTACTATTAGAAATATAAATTGTCAAAATTTTGCTGGCTGGCATAAAAAGTTTTTTAAAAGAATAGCTTTGACCTAGCACTTCTCTTAAGAATTAATCTTGAAGAAGAAATTGGAGTTGTAAAATCTTAGAAGCGATTGTAATAATCAAATTTTGAAAATCAACCTGAATGTCAAGGATTGAAATTATGTCATTTCCACAGGAATGCAACTGAGTCATTAAAAATCATGTTGTGGACGACTTACTCTAATGACCATTGAGAAATGGCCATGTTATGTTACAAAGTGAAATATAGTTTACTGTTCAATGATTTGTTTGATAAATAACTTCCTTTGTCTCAGTGACTAGGGACTCTTCTAGACATTAAGAATACAATAGTGGAGGACTTCCCTGGTGGCGCAGTGGTTGAGAGTCCACCTGCCAATGCAAGGGACACTGGTTCGTGCCCCGGTCTGGGAAGATGCCGCGGAGCGGCTGTGCCCGTGAGCCATGGCCACTGAGCCTGCACGTCCGGAGCCTGTTGCTCTGCAACAGGAGAGGCCACAACAGTGAGAGGCCCGCGTACCGCAAAAAAAAAAAAAAAAAAAAAAGAATACAATAGTGGGGCTTCCCTGGTGTCGCAGTGGTCAAGAATCCGCCTGCCAATGCATGGGACACAGGTTCGAGCCCTGGCCCGGGAAGATACCACATGCTGCGGAGCAACTAAGCCCATGCGCCACAACTACTGAGCCTGCGCCCTAGAGCTCACGTGCCACAACTACTGAGCCCACGTGCCACAACTATTGAAGCCTGTGTGCCTAGAGCCCGTGCTCTGCAACAAGAGAAGCCACTGCAATGAGCAGCCCGTGCCCCGCAACAAAGAGTATCCCCTGCTCGCCACAACCAGAGAAAGCCCATGCACAGCAACAAAGACCCAACGCAGCCAAAAATAAAAATAAATAAATAAAATTTATTTTAAAAAGAATACAATAGTAAACATGGTATGGAAGGCTCCTACTTTCACTGAATTTACATTTGTGTTGAGGGAACAATAAGTCAACAAATAAGCAAACAAATGAACAGAGTTCTGTTAAACCATATTCACCATATTAAGTGATATAAAGAAAATAAAACTAAGTGATAAGATCTTAATTTGTTGAGGTATTAGCTAAATTTGTTGAGGAGATCAGGATAAGCCTCTGGGTAGGTAACACTTGAGTCAAAACTTAGATGACATTTTTTACATTACGATCCCTATTATCTAACCATTTATCCATCCATTTGTGTGTGTGTGTGTGTGTGTGTATGGACATACACATATATACATATAACTGCATAGCTAAAATTCTGTTCACTTAAATGCTAATAGTGGGTAACTCTGAGTAGTAGAATTTTTTTCCTTTTGGGTTCTTTTCTTTATTTCCAAATTTTCTACAACAGTATATTCAGATTATTTCTTAAAATAATTTTTTTTTAAGACTAGAGGATGGAATATGCTTCTGATCTCAACTGTATCAAAAAAAATATGCATAGAAGAGAAATATACCAAGTTGTTAACAGGTATATCGCTGAGTTATGATTGCATTTTATTATCTACATTTCTGTTTGGTTTTTTTCCAATTTGCTTTTATTTCACTGTTTTCTTTTTTTTTGGAATTTTATTTTTTATACAGCAGGTCCTTATTAGTTATCTATTTTTTACATATTAGTATATATATGTCAATCCCAATCTCCCAATTCATCCCACCACCACCACAACCCCCCTCCACTTTCCCCCTTTGGTGTCCATACGTTTGTTCTCTACATCTGTGTCTCTGTTTCTACCCTGCAAACCAGTTCATCTGTACCATTTTTCTAGGTTCCATATATGCGTTAATACACGATATTTGTTTTTCTCTTTCTGACTTCACTCTGTATGACAGTCTCTAGATCCATCCACGTCTCTGCAAATAACTCAATTTCGTTCCTTTTTATGGCTGAGTAATATTACATTGTATATATGAACCACATCTTTATCCATTCGTCTGTCAGTGGACATGTAGGTTGCTTCCATGACCTGGCTATTGTAAATAGTGCTGCAATGAACATTGGGGTGCATGTGTCTTTTTGAATTATGATTTTATCTGGGTATATGCCAAGTAGTGGGATTGCTGGGCCATATGGTAATTCTATTTTTATTTTTTTTATTTATTTATTTTTGCTTTTTTTTTTCTTTTTGCGGTACGCGGGCCTCTCACTGTTGTGGCCTCTCCTGTTGCGGAGCACAGGCTCCGAACGCGCAGGCTCAGTGGCCATGGCTCACGCTGCTAGCGACTCCGCGGCATGTGGGATCTTCCTGGACTGGGGCACGAACCTGTGTCCCCTGCATCGGCAGGCAGACTCTCAACCACTGCGCCACCAGGGAAGCCCCTATTTTTAGTTTTTTAAGGAACGTCCATACTGTTCTCCATAGTGGCTGTATCAATTTACATTCCCACCAACAGTGCAGTAGGGTTCCCTTTTCTCCACACCCTCTCCAGCATTTATTGTTTGTAGACTTTTTGATGATGGCCATTCTAACTGGTGTGAGGTGGTACCTCATTGTAGTTTTGATTTGCATTTCTCTAATAGTGATGTTGACCAGCTTTTCATGTGCTTCTGGCAATCTCTATGTCTTCTCTGGAGAAATGTCTATTTAGGTCTTCTGCCCATTTTTTGATTGGGTTGTTTGTTTTTTTTAATATTGAGCTGCATGAGCTGTTTATATATTTTAGAGATTAATCCATTGTCTGTTGATTCTTTTGCAAATATTTTCTCCCATTCTGAGGGTTGTCTTTTCGTCTTGTTTGTAGTTTCCTTTGCTTTGCAAAAGCTTTTAAGTTTCATTAGGTCCCATTTTTTAATTTTTGTTTTTATTTCCATTACTCTAGGAGATGGATCTGAAAAGATCTTGCTGTGATTTATGTCAAAGAGTGTTCTTCTTCCTATGTTTTCCTCTAAGAGTTTTATAGTGTCCGGTCTTATATTTAGGTCTCTAATCATTTTGAGTTTATTTTTGTGTATGGTGTTAGGGAGTGTTCTAATTTCATTATTTTACATGTAGCTGTCCATTTTTCCCAGCACCACTTATTGAAGAGACTGTCTTTTCTACATTGTATATCCTTGCCTCCTTTGTCATAGATTAGTTGACCATAGGTGCATGGGTTTACCTCTGGGCTTTCTATCCTGTTGCATTGATCTATATTTCTGTTTTTGTGCCAGTACCATATTGTCTTGATTACTGTAGCTTTGTAGTATAGTCTGAAGTCAGGGAGTCGGATTTGTCCAGCTCCATTTTTTTCCCTCAGGACTGCTTTGGCTATTTGGGGTCTTTTGTGTCTCCATACAAATTTTAAGATTTTTTGTTCTAGTTCTGTAAAAAATGCCACTGGTAATTTGATAGGGACTGCTTTGAATCTGTAGATTGCTTTAGGTAGTATAGTCATTTTCACAGTATTGATTATTCTAATCCAAGAACATGGTATATCTCCATCTCTTTGTGTCATCTTTCACTTCTTTCATCAGTGTCTTATGGTCTTCTGAGTACAGGTCTTTTACCTCCTTAGGTAGGTTTATTCCTAGATATTTTATTCTTTTTTTGCAGTGGTGAATGGAATTATTTCCTTATTTCTCTTTGTGATCTTTCATTGTTAGTGCATAGAAATGCAAGAGATTTCTGTGCATTAATTTTGTATCCTGCAACTTTACCAGATTCATTGATTAGCTCCCGTAGTTTTCTTGTGCCATCTTTAGGATTATCTATGTGTAGTATCATGTCATCTGCAAACAGTGACAGTTTTACTTCTTCTTTTCCAATTTATATTCCTTTTATTTCTTTTTCTTCTTTGATTGCCATGGCTAAAACTTCCTAAATTATGTTGAATAATAGTGGTGAGAGTGGGCACCCTTGTCTTGTTCCTGATCTTAGAGGAAATGCTTTCAGTTTCTCACCATTGAGAATGATGTTGGCTGTGGGTTTGTCATATATGGCTTTTATTATGTTGAGGTAGATTCCCTCTATGTCCACTTTCTGGAGAGCTTTTATCATAAATCAGTGTTGAATTTTGTCAAAAGCTTTTCTGCATCTCTTGAGATCATATGGCTTTTCTCCTTCAATTTATTAATATGTTGTATCACATTGATTGATTTGCATATATTGAAGAATCCTTGCATCCTTGGGATAAATCCCACTTGACCATGGTGTATCATCCTTTTAATGTGTTGTTGGATTCTGTTTGCAAGTATTTTGTTGAGGATTTTTGCGTCTATGTTCATCAGTGATATAGGTCTGTAATTTTCTTTTTTGTAGTATCTTTGTCTGGTTTTGGTATCAAGTTGATGGTGGCCTCATAGAATGAGTTTGGAAGTGTTCCCTCCTCTGCAATTTTTGGAAAGTTTGAGAAGGATGGGTGTTAGCTCTTCTCTAAATGTTTGATAGAATTCCCTGTGAAGCCATCTGGTCCTGGACTTTCGTTTGTTGGAAAATTTTTAATCACACTTTCAATTTCATTACTTGTGATTGGTCTGTTCATATTTTCTATTTCTTCCTGGTTCAGTCTTGGAAGGTTATACCTTTCTAAGAATTTTCCATTTCTTCCAGGTTGTCCATTTTATTGTAATAGACTTGCTTGTAGTAGTCTCTTATGATGCTTTGTATTTCTGCAGTGTCCATTGTAACTTCTCCTTTTTCATTTCTAATTTTATTGATTTGAGTCCTCTCCCTCTTTTTCTTTATGAGTGGCTAAAGGTTTATCAATTTTGTTTATCTTCTCAAACAACCAGCTTTTAGTTTTACTGATTTTTGCTCTTGTTTTCTTTGTTTCTATTTCTTTGTTTCTATTTATTTCTGCTCTGATCTTTATGATTTCTTTCCTTCTACTAACTTTGGGTTTTGTTTGTTCTTTCTCTAGTTCCTTTACGTATAAGGTTAGATTATTTATTTGAGATTTTTCTTGTTTTTTGAGGTAGGCTTGTATTGCTATAAACTTCCCTCTTAGAACTGCTTTTGTTGCAGTCCATAGGTTTTTCATCATCATGTTTTTGTTGTAATTTGTCTCTAGGTATTTTTTGATTTCCTTTTTGATATCTTCAGTGATCTCCTGGTTATTTAATAGCGTACTGTTTAGCCTCCATGTGTTTGTGTTTTTTATGGTTTTTTCCCTGTAATTGATTTCTAATCTCATAGCATTGTGGTCAGAAAAGATCCTTTATATGATTTCAATTTTCTTATATTTACCAAGGCTTGATTTGTGACCCAAGAGGTTATCTATCTTGTCGAATGTTCCATGTGCCCTTGAGAAGAAAGTGTAATCTGCTGTTTTTGGGTGGAATGTTCTATAAATATCAATTAAATCTATCTGGTCTATTGTGTCATTTAAAGCTTGTGTTTCCTTATTAATTTTCTGTCTGGATGATCTGTCCATTGGTGTAAGAGAGCTATTAAAGTCCCCCACTATTATTGTGTTACTATCAGTTTCCTCTTTTATAGCTGTCAGCAGTTGTCTTATGTATTGAGGTGCTCCTGTGTTGGGTGCATGTATATTTATAATTGTTATATCTTCTTCTTGGATTGATCCCTTGATCACTATGTAGTGTCCTTCTTTGCTTCTTGTAATAGTCTTTATTTTAAAGTCTATTTTGTCTGATATGAGAATTGCTACTCCAGCTTTCTTTTGATTTCCATTTTCATAGAATATCTTTTTCTATTACCTCACTTTCAGTCTGTTATGTGTCCCTAGGTCTGAAGTGGGTCTCTTGTAGATAGCATATATATGGGTCTTGTTTCTGTATCCGTTCAGCGAGCCTGTGTCTTTTGGTTGGAGCATTTAATCCATTCATGTTTAAGGTAATTATCAATATGTATGTTCCTATTACCATTTTCTTAATTGTCATGGGTTTGTTTTTGTAGGTTCTTTTCTTCGCTTGTGTTTCCCACTTAGAGAAGTTCCTTCATCATTTGTTATAGAGCTGGTTTGGTGGTGCAGAATTCTCTTACCTTTTGCTTGTCTGTAAAGCTTTTGATTTCTCCGTTGAATCTGAATGAGATCCTTGCTGGGTAGAGTAATCTTGGTTGTAGGTTCTTCCCTTTCATCACTTTAAATATATCATGCTACTCCCTTCTTGCTTGTAGAGTTTCTGCTGAGAAATCAGCTGTTAACCGTATGGGAGTTCCCTTGTATGTTATTTGTCATTTTTCCCTTGTTGCTTTCAATAATTTTTCTTTGTCTTTAATTTTTGTCAATTTGATTACTGTGTGTCTCAGCATGTTTCTCCTTGGGTTTATCCTGTATGGGACTCTCTGTGCTTCCTGGACTTGGGTGGCTATTTCCTTTCCCATGTTACGGAAGTTTTTGACTATAATCTCTTCAAATATTTTCTCGGGTCCTTTCTCTCTTCTCCTTCTGGGACCCCTATAATATGAAAGTTGTTACGTTTAATGTTGTACCAGAGGTCTCTTAGGCTGTCTTCATTTCTTTTCATTCTTTTTTCTTTATTCTCTTCCACAGCAGTGAATTCCACCATTCTGTCTTCCAGGTCACTTATCTGTTCTTCTGCCTCAGTTATTCTGCTATTGATTCCTTCTAGTGTAGTTTTCATTTCAGTTATTTTGTTGTTCATCTCTGTTTGTTTTTTAATTCTTCTAGGTCTTTGTTCTTTAATTCTTCTAGGTCTTTGTTAAACATTTCTTGCATCTTCTTGATCTTTGCCTCCATTCTTTTCCTGAGGTCCTGGATCATCTTCACTATCATTTATTCTGAATTTTTTTTCTGGAAGGTTGCCTATCTCCACTTCATTTAGTTGTTTTTCTGGGGTTTTATCTTGTTCTTTCATCTGGTACATAGTCCTCTGTGTTTTCATTTTGTCTATCTTTCTGTGAATGTGGTTTTCATTCCACAGGCTGCAGGATTGTAGTTCTTCTTGCTTCTGCTGTCTGCCCTCTTCACTGTGTTCTTACGATAAGAAAAAAGTAGACAACAAACCTTAGTTTAACAAAAGAAACCGAAAACTGTCTTTTCTAATTTTTATAACATATACACTTAAATATTTGGCTGTGTCGTATATGTCATTGTGTTTTACATTATGATTTATGTGGAACTCCCTAATCAAATATTTGGTGTTAAAAGAGGAAAGGCAGTCTTGGGCATTATTTTACATGGTTACAAAGTATTCAATATATAATTTCTAATTTGTAACATTCTTTCTAATTATAAGGGTTATATCAGTTTATTGAAGAAAATTTTAGGAAAGTCAGAAAGGTATAAGGAAAGTAAAAATTTACCTGTAGTCTCCCCATTCAGAGTCTACCGTAAACCGTATTGTTTATCCTTCTATATGCATATTACATATTTATATTTTTAATCAGGAAATCATTGTTATAGATGCAGTTTGTATTCTAGAGTTCCAATTCCTTTCATTATGCCAGTTTTTCATCGTCTTAAATACAGCTGACCCTAGAACAACTTGGGGGTTAGGGACGCCAACCCTCTGCACAGTTACAAATTAAAGTATTACTTTATAGTGGGCTGGCCCTCTGTATCCCTGGTTCCACATCCATGGATTCAACCAACCACAGATCATGTAGTACTGTAGTATTTATTGATACAAATATGAGTATAAGTGGACCTGCATAGTTCAAACCCATGTTGCTCAAGGTTCCAGCTGTAGTCTCCAATGGTAGTATTTAGTGTTTCCATGATATTCAGCCATATAAATGTAATATTCTTTATTTAACCCTTTATTACTTAGAGATAGTTAGATACATATTATTTATATTTAGATACTACTATTTCTGGTGAAAAATAAATTTTTGTTAAAGACAAAAATTCCAGCCTACTGCTGAAAACAGCTGATTCAAATCCTGCTTTCAGAACAAAATTGTGATTTTTGTGTTTGGGATTTCTCTAATGGTATCAGCAAATTTTGTCCAGGTTGAAATAGAATATTTAAGCATTTCATCTTCCACATCTTAGTGATTCCCATTCTTTTTTTACTCTCATAATGTTTTCTTGTATTTAGGTAGGGTTTTTTTCCATTTACAAAAGCATTTGGAATGATAAGGAATTATAGAAGAATATTGATTCACATAAAAATGTTTATGGCATGCTATTATTAAAATGTTATAGAACAGTATGTACAATATGATACTAATTTTGTTTTTAAAGTATATATGTTGTGTATGCATATGTTCAAAGATTAGAAGAATATATGCCGAAATCCTAACAGTGGTTACTTCTTAGTGGTAGGGTTCTTCTGGGAGCATTCTGTTTTCTGGATTCTCTACAGTGAACATATTCCCAGAAGGAAAATATTTTTTAAAACATAGCTAAGTGCCATATTTTTGCAGAGCCGTCAAGAATTCTATAGTTTAGTTAAAGACATTCTAGACATTCATTTAGAAAGATTTGAAAATAAATGACTATATGCAATTCAGTATAAAAGTGTATATGTAACTATAAGGAAATATCATTGAGCAGTAGAATTAGAATAGTGTTAATGAAGAAAGTGGTGGTTTTGAGCTGAATCTTAAAAGGAAATGTACAGTTTTTTATTGGAGAAGACAGTGAGTTTATACCCTCAAAGGACAGCATCCCAAAGGCATGTGTCTGGGAATGAGAGAATATAGAAATGTGGAGAATAGTAAAGAGACTAAACTTAATCAGTATGTGATTGTTCTTTTAAAACAGAAAGTCTCTGTTTCATGTTAATGATCAGATATTTAAAAAAGAAAAGAGAAATCCTGAAGTTTGGGGAACTAATGCATTTGTGTTTTTTAAAGAATTTCACTGTTTTAGTACCAGTTGCTCTCTACTTGAACATTATTTTTCATGGTTACAAATTATATAGTCAATGTTTGTATAATTGTTTCAGTGTTAATTTTACTGAAACACTGTATTAGTTGAAAAATTTCTTTTCAAAAACTGCATAGTAAAACTTATGGTTAGTCAGTAGATATTTTAATGCCATGATACTAAATGTTAGCTCAAATAATCAGTGTTTAAATACAACTTTCTTATGTCATAGGGCTTTTGCCAAGATGGCTTCAGCTCCTACCAGCTATGGCAACACTACCACTAAACCAATGGGGTAAGTATTTTTAATAATTCTGATTGAATAAGTCTGGTACTCCAGACCATAATTGGACTTTTGTGCCTTAAAAACACAGTGTGACACTTTGGATACAGAAAGTTTTCATTGTGATACAGAACAAATGTCAGCATGCCTTTAGCTTCCATAGGTAGTTTAAATTCTGTATTTTACCTGGTATGGCTTTGTATGCTTCCTTGTTCTTAAAACATTATGTTTGGGCTTCCCTGGTGGCGCAGTGGTTGAGAGTCTGCCTGCCGATGCAGGGGACATGGGTTTGTGCCCCAGTCCGGGAAGGTCCCACATGCCGCGGAGCGGCTAGGCCCGTGAGCCATGGCCGCTGAGCCTGCGCATCCGGAGCCTGTGCTCCACAATGGGAGAGGCCACAACAGTGAGAGGCCCGCGTACCAAAAAAAAAAAAAAAAAAAAATTATGTTTTTCATTTTCAGAAGATACATGAAGTTTAAAAACTGTTTTTATATCAATGTTGATAATATAGACTTGAAGCTAGACACTCAAGACCTAGCTTCAAGATGGAACTAGGCATACTGCTAAATGATAGAGAGGAAATCCTCAGGGCTGGGTATGACTTCTGACTTCAGAAAATCCTGTACAGTATGTGTGGTTTTCAGGGGAGCTAAACAAAGTGATTCTAACTGCTGTTTTCCATACCATACTAGCTTCAAAATTCTTAGCTTATTTTTTGGAGCTTAGAACAAAAGCATGAAACTGGAGGAAAACCGGTTTACCTACCCCGAGCTGCCAGTTTTAATGAAACAGTTTCCAAAAAGTAAAAGTACTTGGCCTAAGGCAGGGCCTTGTAAGCGCTTGGCAAAATGAATCCATTTGGCCTCACCTTCAGACAGTGCTGTGCAGGTGAGCCCACTAACTCCCTGAGAGTTACCTGGTACCTGGGAATTGCCTCAGAACTGTCCACTCCAACAGAGATTACTTTCTTTTGTTTTTGTTAAAGAAATGATTTCCATCCTGTCCATCTCTTCATTTCAGAGGGGAGTAGGACAAGATAGGAAAAATGAAAATATATTTGGAAAATTACTCTCATGCATTTAATGAAACAGACTTTCCAGTTCTTTGTCTTAAAATCTTGCTGAATCTTAAAAGCCTATTAGATTTCTTATGGATTTTGTAGTTGAGGATTTTAATAAAATGTGTTATAAGAAAACCTTGGATGATTTGAAGGCTTTCCCTAGCCTTCTTTTTTTTAAAATTAATTTTTATTGGAATATAGTGCTTTACAATGTGTTAGTTTCTGCTGTGCAGCAAAGTGAATCAATTATACATATACATATATCCTCTCTTTTTTGGATCTCCTTCCAATTTAGGTCACCACAGAGCATTGAGTAGAGTTCCCTGTGCTAAACAGTAGGTTCTCGTTAGTATCTCCCTAGCCTTCTAATATCAAAATGCAAGATTACCATTCTGTCCCACAAAGCATCCTTTGATTCCATGTGAGAGACTTTTTGAACCACAAATATAAAACCAATATGGCAAGTCATTTGTGTTATTTTTGTTGTTAAAAATTCAGACACTAAACAGTCTTCTGAGTTGAGGTAGAATTCATCAAGTATGTTGTGCTTCACATTTTTATATGATAGGTTTTGTGTATGAGGGGAGAAAGTATACAATTGCAGGATTAGGTCTAGCAGCTATGATATAGAGAACACAGTAACTTTTGACCTATTCGTAATACTTATAGACATATATGTTTTGAATATGCCAGTGTGTTTTGAACTCCTAAAGTGAGTCATCTGAATTACTATCTTTTTTTAATTGAAGTATCGTTGATTTACAATACTGTGTTAATTTTTGCTGTACAGCAAAGTGATTCAGTTATACATACATACACATTTTTTAATACTCTAGATTACTGTCTTTAATTTATTGTTTTAACATTAAGACAATCAGGAAAGCAAGGAATTCTCTTCAGTTAATAATTTGCTTAAATACTATAGCTAAGGCTTAGCAATTAAAATGTTTATATTGAGGGCAGCTCTCAATTTTTATATTTTATTAATATCGACTAGTCAAAGTTTTATTACTGTTTTATTACTGTTTTATTGTTAAATAAAATTGTGGCAGTGATGTCCATGGAAGCAGAAATTCTCAGGTCACTTCTGTTTAGTAAAAACAAAGGTGGTAGGCACATAGAGCATCAGCATATATTGTGTAATCAGACAAGTATTCTGTCTGTAACTGGAGAGATAATTTGTACTTAGTGCAGTCCTCTTCTTTTGCACCTAGTCTCTTATCACGAGTCATGAATACAGGATCACAATTTGTGATGGAAGGAGTGAAGAACCTGGTATTGAAACAGCAAGTAAGTACAATTGTTAGAAAACACACTGGTAACTTTTGAATATAAATGTTGGCAGGTTGATTGCTCAGATAGAGCAGCTTCTACATATATTCAAGTACAAATATTAGGAATAAAATAAAATCAAGGCATCCTTTACTGGTATATTTAAGGATGTGAGGGTGTTTTACAGGTATAGTTCACAACTCTGTAATTTTATGCTTTTTTTTTTTAATTCGCTAATTGGACTTTACTGACATTTTGATTTCCTTTAACTATTATCAGGTTTGTGAAAGTATATTAATTGAAAAAAAATGAACTTAACCTTAGAATAATGAACTGTTACAAAAATGCATATCATTTAAGTTTTGACATATATTAGGAGAATATTAATAAACTAATAGCCTTAATAGTTTAAAAGCCTGTGTAAATTAAAATAAAAATATTTTAAGTAGAATATATGTTTTGAAATAATGTAACTATAGCTTGATTTCATACTTCATTTTGGAATAACAGTCTTAGTTTTAAATATAAGACTTTTTTTAATGACTTTTGTATTTTTGTTGTTTTCCTGTTATTCTTATATATAGATATTTCTGCTTCAGAGTCATCATTAATTGATTTGGTTTCAAACTGGACTTGTTTTTAACTTTTTGTTATGGAAATTTTCAAATACACGTTAGTATGTCAAATACTCCTGAGCCCTTCACCAAGCTTCAATACTCAACATCGTGCCATTCTTGTTTCATCTTCCCCACTTATATTTTTTTATTTGATTTATTTTTAACTGGGATATTTTAAGGCAAATCTGAGATATAATATTTCACACATAAATACTACAGTTTGTAGTGAGAAGGATTTTAAAGGCCAAATTAAGAAAAGAAACAGAGTTAATTATCTGTTATTCAGATCTGAATATTAAGTGTTTACTTACTTGTTTTCAGAATAAACTAGATCTTTTGTTTCTCTGAACTTCTTCCACACCTTTTATCTTTCTTATGATGTTTACCTGTGGTATTTTGTATTAACATTATTTATATTTTACTTCTTTTTTTTCCAGTTTTATTGAGATACAATTGATATATATTGTTTTACTTATTGATGGCAAAGAATTTTTTTCCCCATCTTTGAATTTTCCATAGCAGTTTGAAGAAAGTAGGTATTCAATTTTTGTTTGAATAAGTGAATAAGATTTTATTGTAAAAAAACATGTAGTGTTAATAAAGAACAGTGAAAAATCCTAATTTGCTGTCTTTAACTAAAAGGCTGATTACTTCCTAACTTTCCTTCAGAGAGATTCCAGATTGCTTTATTTCCTAAGTACTTGGGAAGAATTTTTAGCTTCATTATCACTCTTAGGAATTATTTTCAGTCCTTCCCATTCTGTCTCTCTTCTGGTAAGAGGCTACTACTAAATACTTAATCCACTTTTTTACTGGTTCACGGTACTTTCCTGAGTCAGTTTATCTTTGCTCTCTTAGACTACTGAAGGTGAAGAGACATAAAAATAGGAGGTTGGGCACATTAGTGACCAACATACTGTACTTACAGTTTAACCTAGCACCTGTTAAAGAAAAAATTACTCATGACACTCATTAAAGTACAGTAAGGCAGACTTTATTCAGGGGGACCATTGAGAAAGATGTTGGGACCATCACAATGGAGTTTTGAAGTCTGGGAGAGAGATTGGGCTTAAGTACAAATACAAAAGTGGGAATTTATAGCCAAGGAGCAGGGTGTAGGGAATCAGTGGTTGGAAAATTACCAAGAGGAAATATCAGGGATAAAGGGGGATCCTGGCCAAACCAACCTAACAGGATTCTTGCTGAAGGCAGGCTAGTGTGATTGGACATCACCTGGGAGGTGGTAGAAGGTGAGGAACCCGATGAGATATCGAGGGTGTTTAGATACCGAGGATGGAGGTGCTGGCTATAAACTGACTTTAGCAGGATTCTTTCTAAAATTGGACAATGCAGAGATGGACACAGAAGTCCACAGGTCGAGGCCCAGTTGAAAAAGTTCAAAGAGCCTGAGTAGAATCTCTCTAGGAGAGAACCTTTGTCATAGCACTCTATTTATTATCAACTATGGACAAGATGATTTCATATGTGAGACAAAGGGGGAACCACCAGTTTCTAAGACTACGTCTGCCTTTTGCTAGATAGACTGGCTATTGTATAACTACGTATAGTTAAATTTAGTTTTAAGGAAAAGTACATATTTTACTTAACATGTCACTGTTAGAAGGAAATCCCAGTAGTAAGATTCCCTAAACAAAGGAATCCTTGTCACAAATAACTGATAGCATTGAGCAATTACAGGCTTTAATCTTTATTTATTTATGACTGCGTTGGGTCTCCGTTGCTGCGTGCAGCCTTTCTCTAGTTGTGGCGAGCGGGGGCTACTCTTCGTTGTGGTGTGCGGGCTCCTCATTGCGGTGACTTCTCTTTGTTGCAGAGCACGGGCTCTAGGCACACGGGCTTCAGTAGTCGTGGCACGTGGGCTCAGTAGTTGTGGCACACAGGCCCTAGAGCACAGGCCCAGTAGTTGTGGCGCATGGGCTTAGTTGCTCCACGGCATGTGGGATCTTCCCGGACCAGAGCTCAAACCCGTGTCCCCTGCATTAGCAGGCGGATTCTTAACCACTGTGCCACCAGGGAAGTCCTTGTAATCTTTTAAATGATCAAATTTACTTTTTGAACTTATTACCTTAGTGTCACATGATATACATCCCCAAATGATGCCTGTAAGAAGGGTCTAAAGTGATCGACTTAAATATTTTATTGTGCTAACACAACAGTGTGTTTTATTTAAAGTTAAGTTTATAAAATATAAAACAGATTATCCTCTGTGACCTCAAATCCTTTTGCTTTTCTTAACATTGCAAATAACATACTGCTTTGATATAGGCAGTTTCTCACTTACAGAAGTAAAATTTGAAATGACTGGTGGTTACCTCTTTCTATATCACATTTCTATCACCACTGCTAAGAGAGCCAGGCCAGTTTTTTAAATAGATGTTAATAAGACTTTTTAGGAAATATTTATTGATTTGGGGGACACTGGTTACTGATTGGGGGATAGTGGTTCATTATATATTGTGAAGTAAAAATAAAAGTCATTATAAAACAGTAAATTCAATATGATCTTTTTGTTTTTGTTTAAAAAAAGAAAAAAAATAGAAGATACTCAAGGATATATAACTAGGTTTTAAATGTTAGTTTTTCTAGGTGAGAGTATTCACCTCTGATTAATTCCATATGATAAATTATTAGACTTCAATTATGGAATCAAAAGAGTGAACATTTCTAATTGTTCTTAGTAAATGTTACCAACGTTGCTGTCCAGAAAAGTTGTACCAATTTGCAGTGATTTACAGCACCTGTTTCTCTATATCCCGCCCAAACTTGGACCTGTGTGTATGTGTATGTGTGTAATCTTTGTAAATTTAATACTTTTAAAAAGTCTCTTGTTCTAGAAATATTTAAACTCATAGAAAGCCATTTTTAAAGTTACACAGTCCTAACGTTCTAAAATTTAGAGGAACTGCTACAGGTAGATATAGGGCAGGTTGGGAACTGAAAAAAATGTCAGAGAAGAGACTGGAAAAGATGAATTCTTTGTTTCACACTTGTAAAGTTCTGTTTAATTTATGCCTCTTAAGTCTCTAAGTATTTGTTTCAATTTTTTATCTGAATAAACATTTTAAGCTATAAAAACATTAGATAGAATAGGATGTCTTGTCATGTCCAGTTTTCTAGGTCACTTATAAGAGCCTTTTATACTTTTTTGTTTCTTGGGCAGCATAAGTTTTATGTATCACAAGTATTAGCTATCACATAAAACCATTTGAATGATATTCGCAGATTTGAAATATACTTATGTGAGGATAATTGTACAAGAACGTGATGATGAATAATGTAGTACTAAGTTGCATAATTTAAAAGTCTTCTATTTCACTTTCTTTGGCTTGTTTGCTTAAATAATCACTCTTTTAAAAATGAATTAACAACAAATAAATTGCAAGCAGTGGAATTCAGTAGATTAAAAAAGACTTAAAAGATATATCACCTAATTGCAATACATAGCCCTTATTAACATTATAATTTGAACAGTGAAACTGTAAGAAATAAATTTATGGAGCAGGAAAATTTTGATACTGACTAGATATTGAGCTGTATTAAAAATATTTGCTGATTATTTTAGGTGCAATAGTAGTGTTATAGGGGTTTTTTTTTCTTTTAGGAATTCTTATATTGTGGAGATATATATACTGAAATATTTATTGCTAAAATGATTTGATACTGGGAACTTGTTTTAAAACAGCCTAGGGAGTGGGGAGTGAGAGTATAAATGAAATAAGAATTCGCCATGAGTTGATAATTGTTGAACCTGAATGATGGAAATTGATGTGTTTTATTGGGTCCAGGTAATCCTGTTTCTTGATTTTATTGCCATTAATATGCTATGGTTTGGGGAAAAAATACCACTTTATATATTTTATTCTTTCCTCATCTGTAAGATGTGGATGTTGGATTCACTCTGTAGATCCCTTCTGATTTATAATTTTTAAATTTTGGAAATAGATGATCCATCCTATTCCCCTTCCTCCTATCTGCTTCACTGACAACTTTCCAACATCCGCATACTCCATCTTATTCTTTACTTGGCTAATACAGTCTTCCAGATAAGTATTCTCTTCAAGAAAGTACACATACTGCTTTTCATTCTTCAGGACTTTGATAATCAAGACAGCAGCGACTCTTGTCCCAACTTCACTGCCTAGTTCATCGTCAGAGTATCATCCCAAATCCAAGGCTACCCAGGGTAGGGCAGGGGCGGCGGGGTCGGGGGGGAGTTGGAAATAGTCACCATAGACCAGATGGCAATACAGGGCAACAAGTGGCTAATCCTAGGAGAATTAGAGGGGAAAAATGTTTTTAACTGTTTTGGATATAGGCCTGTATTATGTTTTTTAGATTGTCTGTTTTTTAATTTCTTTGCATATTTTATTTTAATTTTGTTTTTAAGCAATTATGCCATCAGAGACAAAAATTAACATTGTTTTTATTTAAACTTTTCCAGTGACTAAAATCATAAAACGTGACTATGGTCATAAAACTATTAAGGATTTCTAGAAATTAATTTCTCACTGTATTTTTTTTCTCCCAGTAATATTTCTAGTTCATATATTTGAAATTTGAACATCTTGGAAATAGTGATCCTTAATTTAGGATATTCACATGTATGGGATTCTGTCTCTCAAATCTAAATAGATATAGAGGCTTTCTACTAATAAAAATTTAGTTAGTAACCTAGACAATAATATTTTTCATTTTATTTCTGAAACAGTTTCTAAAAACAATGAAATATATCCTTGGGAATTTTTAAAATAATGGGCTTTCATTTGATTAAATTTCATTTATACCTCTGTTATTGAGGTACACAATTTTTTTGTGTCTTTAAAGATGAGTGAACAGACCATTTGTTGAGTGAAGAAAATTGTATGGTTTTGTTCTGCTGTTTTCTCTCTGTTAGCTGCCACAGTTCAGTTTTTTCAATTAGTAGAACTTAGTTATCTTAGATATAAATTATTATCAATATAAAATTCATTTTAAAATGATTAACTTAAGTCTTCGTATAGGCCAGATAGAGCATTAGTTGATGACAGAGCTCTCAGAAGTTGTTTCCTGAAGTACTCTTTCTTAGGCCTTTAAAGACATTATGTATTTCCTTTATCATTCTCTACACTGCAAGTTTTCCTTAATGTGTGACAGTGTGTGAATTATTGTGTGGTGTGGCACTGGTAGATGACTCTTTTGGTGTTATCTGTTTGTAAAGACCAAACAAAAACATAAAGAATCGTCTCTGGGCTCTTAAACTTCTGAACTGTACTGCTAGAAAGAAATTTTTCTCGTGTTATTTAATGACCTATTCACTAGCAGGCTTATCTTCAGATACAGCAGAGATATGAAATGCCAAGTAAAATTTAACTACCTTTTAGAAAAATCTTATTTTTATACTAAATGAAATATTCAAATTTCCAGTTATTTTCACAAATACAATAAAAGTAATATGACTCATATGGCTTTATCAATTATATAAAATCTTTTCTGACCTTTTCTCCATTGCACATATCTAATACCATAGTACAATTCAGAGAGCTAAACGGAGAATTCAAAGCAAATAGAGGGGCTTCCCTGGTGACGCAGTGGTTTAGAGTCCGCCTGCCGATGCAGGGGATACGGGTTCGTGCCCCGGTCCGGAAAGATCCCACATGCCGCGGAGCGGCTGGGCCCGTGAGCCATGGCCGCTGAGCCTGCGTGTCCGGAGCCTGTGCTCCACAACGGGAGAGGCCACAACAGAGGCCCGTGCACTGCAAAAAAAAAAAAAAAAAAATGTAAATAGAGAAATGGATATAAAATTAATTTTAGTAAAATATTATAATTTATAATGTTGCCTTGCTCCAGAATTCTTTTTATTGTTCCTGTTATGTTGCAAAGTACTTCATCTTTTGTTGGTGTTACTTAGAACAAATTTGTAACTGTAGTTTTTTCTTTTGAAAGCATTTTTATAGATTTAAATCTGTACCCAGTTATTCTTTAGAGAAAGTTATGGTTTAGACTTACATTCTTAAGTGAACAAACTCAAGTTTATTTGAAACAAAACTTAAAAGGTAAAATTTTGAGCTCTCTTTCAAATTCTAAATAGAATTCAGGAAGTACATTCAGTCAGCTTGAACATTTGGTGCTTGTGTTTATATTAAGAAGTTCCTGGCCAACAAAAATATCAGAGAATAATGAAATAACTTTAATTTTACTTGCCTAAGATTATCTTGAAAGATTTTTACTTGCCGATCTAGAGAAAGGAAAAGGAAAAAGAAATGCGTATTTTCTGCCTGGGCAAAGCAGCATTTTCCTTAGTGATGGTCCATTTTAGTAACAATAAAATGTTTTATGACCTACAGAAAGTAAAACTTGTAAAATAGTAATGTGTTATCTACAGTTATTTGAATAATGAGATTTAATGTTGCCTCTGTTGTATGAAATCTCTAAGATACAAAACTATTCTTTCCAGAATATTCTGTACAGTTCACAAAGGAAATATCAGTTCAAAGTGGGCAGAATACCATCCCAGTAGGAAGGTACTTTGAATAGGCATAATAGTCACTTAGTAAATTTTCTGTACCCAATGTGTTGTTACGTTCAAAATAATGGTTAAAATGGTCAGATTGAAACATAGCAATAGTATTTCATATCCCCATGCATGTAAGCATGTCAAGGGGCAATCTTCTGTCAACACCAGTGTTATACATTTTATGTTCAAAGTGGAATGTGTTTTGTAAGAAGATAATATAGTATGTCATTGAAAATTTGGAATTTATCCCAGGCAAAATTAAAGCGGTCAGTAAAGTTGTGTGTGCATCCATTTCCCCATTTTTTCAAAGAACACAAGTATCTTATTGGCTAGAAGAATATACATTAGAAATGAAAAAACTCTGTTAGGTCATTTAATCTCATATATTTCTGCAAACTTAAAGTACTATTTTTTAAATAAATCTGCAGAAAGGAAATGAAAAAAAGCGGGTGGGGATTCTTACTCAATTAAAAGCTTACAATTACGGGTGTTAAAAAGCAGACATCCAACAAAGTAAAAAGCCCAAATATGTATTTGTACTAAAACCTGGATACACCTACACATTTTTAAAAATTACGTTTTTTCTATGGAACCTTGAATAATGCCAAGGGTATTTACAACTATGACACCATTCACAGAATACTTAATCTTCGAATGTGTTTAATTGAAAGGTAAGCATACTGAACTATAGAATGATTAGGTTGTTTTGCTACTAGAGAAGAATTTTGGTTTGTTATTTCTTCTAATATTTAACAAAATACTCACTGATCTCTTCCACAGAATCTACCTGTTACTCGTATTTTAGACAATCTCATGGAGATGAAGTCAAACGCTGTGAGTAGCATATAACACTGTACTTGTAAGTTCTTGAACATACCAGACTATATACAAAAAGTGATAAACTCAGAGTTTGTTGTGGGCTTAATCACAGCAGACTACATGCTGGAAAGGAAAGAGTCCATGTTCTCAAACAGCCTTTTTTAGCCATTATCACAGATAAATGGGAATTGGTTTCTCAGCTGCTACATCACTCTGGCCAGCTTTCATCCAAAGTAAATGTAGATTATATCCTATATATGTCCTAAGGAGCAAGTTTCTATAAATAAAAAAGAACTAGTGAGCATCAGTTGGTGTACTATAAAGAGTACCAGATCAGTTTAATTTTATGAAATGAAATTAGGAGAGGAGTGCATAGTAAAAATTTTAAGTGCATGTATTCAGATGGCACCAAGTTCTTTGGGGCTGAAAGGTAAATTGAGAGAGAAATTGTTTGATGAAGAGCTAAATGGGTAAATAAATATGAGCATTTACTTAAAGAATGGGTTTTCAAGCTATCTGTTTATAATTCAAGAAAGGAATGCAAAAATCATCACAATCTGTTTCATAAAAGAGCCCATCCTGTTACTGTGGCAACTAGAAATAGAGTGGTTATCTGGAATAGAGAAAAGCCGCATGATCAAAACCCTCATCTGGGTTGATCTGAATCACTATAGACTTGGCATCAAGACTTAGGATACCAGGCTGAGAGAGAGAGTGAGAACAGAATCTTCAGTTAAATATGTCATTATTTTGTAATTGTTAAAACATTATTATAACATTAAAGGAAATTAACAAAAACAAATTTTAAAATCTGTCCATGTGAAAACAAAGATATAGTGTTAAAAAAAAGCCCAAAAAGGGGCAATTACAGTTATGAAAGGAATGAGAGAATTGTCTATAATGATAAGCTAAAAAGGATTGGATTCTTCTATCTGGGAATCAATATAGAGAAAGTGGTATACAATGTAGTAAAAATAGATTTATTACTACATCCTAGAATATATGAAGAAGGAATGCTTCTTGAAAAGCCTGAGAGAAGTATGATTTATGATTAATTGTCTTATAGACTACTACTTCATAATAGGCAGTAAATTTCTGGAAGATATTACCCCAAACAATAATAAAGATTAAAAATATAAACAAATGCAAAACTTTAGACACCATATCCACAAGGGGTTAGGCAAGTTCAGGATATTTTGTTGCTGTCCCTAATCTAGAAGTCGAGATGATGGATAAGGACAGTAATAATGATAATAGCTAACATTTATTGTGCATTTCTTTAGCCAGGAACCAGTCAAAACATTTTTCATATAGCTCATTTAATCCTCATTCGAACCTTCTAAGAAAAATACTACTTTTTTAAATTATTCTCATTTTATAGATGAAGAAACTGTGGCACAATTAACTTGCCCAAGGACACACAGCTAAAAAATGGCAGAGCTGAACAGGCCACATTTTTCACCACTGTGCTATATTGATTAGGGCAAGAGCCATGCCCTTCGTAGAATCATAGAACTTTAGAGTTTAATGAAACTGTAGAATCTTAACTGTGAAGGAGAGGAAACCAAGAGATATTGTGACGTTTCCCAAGGCACACTATTTTTAATAACAGAATTGGAACCAAATACCCACTACTTCTGAATTCCTGCCTACTACTCATTCCAGCATATACACACCTTCCACATATCTGTCATAGACATACAGATGGCTAAATTATAGGTCTTATGTTTCTCCAAGTTCTGTAAGTTCATTTATCAGTTCTATTGACTTGGACTTTATAACTGAAGGCACATTACTACAGACAGATATTTTTTAATTAATTATAAAAAGTAAAATTTTTCAACTTTGAAAGCATTTTTTCATCCATCTGCTAGATGAGACAGATGCCTGCTTCCTCTCTTATCCCTGTCTTGTTCCCATATTGACAAATTGATTTGGAGGCTTTGAAGAGATTAACAAAGTGTACTAAGTTAGACCTGACTAGTCATCTTGAATATATCGTATCTCAAAGGCTTTAAGATGCTATAACCTAATTCTAGATGAATTCTTATCACTAACGTTTATTAAGTGTTCTTTGATTTGTCTTGATTGGATATAATGAAAGAAAGGGATTAGGCAAGATACCAGGTAAATTTCATCTTCCCTTGTACATCTGGCTAGTAGCGGTTTCCTAGAGCAAAGTGTTGAAGGATTATGGCACTGCCTTTGGGTTCAGGGAGAGTTCTGTGATTGATTAGCATCGTCCACCATTGAATGCAGGACTAGGTAGTGGCAACAATGCATGGTTTGTCATTGATCACGTTTGAGTAGGTTCATCCAGAAAAGAACCAGATAACGTTTCAGAAAAGAATGAGTTCCTTTGGCTGATTGTACCATGGAGGGCAAAGGAGGCAGAGATTAGGAAGTGACTACATTATAAACAGTAAAGCAGTACTTTCCAGCTCCTTTAATATCAAGAAGCTAGTTTCCAATGTAGTATGGAGGTCAGCAACCCCTTATCCACAACTTCTGAAGTCCAAGAGTTCTGAAAACTAAGAGATTTTATATAACTCATTTGGTGGCAAAACCTAACCTTAACTCAAGTTGAGGTTCTTCGTACTTTTGATTTATCCTACTTTATGTTAATATTCATCTGTTTAGCTCCAGAAATATTAACGTGTTAGATGATGGGGTGCTGCCCTCTATGAATATTATATATAGTTTATGCATGACATTATCTATATGCAATTTTTTAAATTCAAAATTCCAAAATACATCTAACTGCAGAGGTTTCAATTATGAGAGATTGTGAACCTGTATTAGGTATTCTGGACATTCAGTAAAATCATAGACATATAATAATAATATAATAAATTCTAAAAGCAAGAATATTTAAGTACATTAGGTTATAAAACAGGTATATTATTTTTCTTAGTTACTTTTTTTTGAAGTATAGTTGATTTTACAGTGTTGTGTTAGTTTCAGGTATATAGCAAAGTGATTCAGTTATATATATATATTCTTTTTCAGATTCTTTTCCCTTATAGCTTGTTGCAGAATATTGAATATAGTTCTCTGTGCTATACAGTAGGTCCTTGTTGGTTATCTATTTTATATATAGTAGTATTCTTTTGTTAATTCTAAACTCCTAATTTATCCCTCCACCCCTTCCCCCCCTTGGTAACCATAAATTTGTTTTCTATGTCAAAACAGGTATATTTTTGAGAAGCAATATGCATAGTGGTTAAGAGCTGGGGTATTGAAACTAGACTACCTGGGTTCAAATCCTGGAGTTCCCACACTTACTTGTCATGTGACTTTAGGAAAGTTAAAATAAATAACTTCTCTGTACCCCAACTTGCCCATCTGAAAAATAGGGATAATAATAACTACCTCATAGGTGATAGGGGATTATGTAATTTTACTTAGAACAACGTTTAACACATAGTAATTGCTCGGTAAATGTTGATGGTGGTTACCCACTCTACCAAATTAATAGATTCATTAGTAGATTCATCAAGTATTCTTAAAATAAGCCAAACTTGAACTTTCTAAAGAAAAATTCCATAGTCATGGTAGAGTTCTCTTTTTTTTTTTAATAGGAAACTGATGACTATAGATATTTTGATCCCAAAATGCTGCGGGGCAATGACAGGTAAGCAGCTCTCGTCTTGTACAATTTGTTGTAGGTTTCCCCACCCCCACCAAGAACGGAAATAACTTTACTGATTTTTTGTTATACATCAGTAACTGCTTATTATTAAAAATTCAAACTATATAGAAAACTGGTAAGTAAACAGTATGTATAATCTCTTTACCCAGAAGTAATCACTGGTAATTATACCTAACACTTTGATGCTTTTCCTTCCAAGTGTAACATGCAAAAAAAATACATTTTGATGTTTGTTGTTTTTAATGAAATGATGGGGGTATTACAAACTATGTGTGGGTGAAGAGAATTTGGATAATCTGTGTGTTTTTAAATGAATATTCTTATTGGACCAAATGAAAAGATGGGAGCTTTATGTTGGATACCAGTTGTTGGCTTTTTATTTAACTGGTCCATAAAATCTAAGCCCCTGGGAATCATTGCTGTGAATACTTCCTTATAGCAATGAAACATTCTGCAAATAATTTATATACTTTATGACAAACATGGTATGGTAAGGTATTTGTTAACTTTATTTTGGATATTATTTTTTAAGATTTAATCCATGGTGGTATGAAGAATAGCCTACAAGATACAGAAAAAGAATAGGCAGAATTAGGAGGGAAAAACCTTCCTGGAGGGATGGTCTTTAGCACCAAAACTTGGGTGAAGCTTCTTTATTGCCTATACCCTATGTTTGGGATCTTTAGAACTTTGTCTTTGCTCTATCCCAAGCTTTCACATCTTTGTAGGTAGTCAGAACAGATAATCTAGTCACTAGAAAGTTGATTATTAGATTGTTTTGGTAACCTAAAAGATTATTCTTTTTTGTGAACTTATCAGAAACACTACCAAAGTTACAAAAGAAGCTGCTGGTAGCAACTGCAGCTGGCAAGAAAGAATTTGACAAAGAATAAATTATAGAAGGGAGAGAATGAGGAGTGACAACTAATGGGTATGGGGCTTCTTTGGCGGGTGATTAAAATGTTCTGAAATTAGACAGTGGTGATGGTTGTACAACTCTGCAAATATTCTAAAAACCAGATTGTACACTTTAAAATGGTGGATTTGCAACTCTTGATGTTCTCGAGCTTACAATTTTTCCTTCCTCGTGTTTGCATCAGTAGATATATTTTGCATTTTAGAAACTTCTGAGAAATTCTTTTAATCTTCCCTATAGTTTATGCATGATAATGAGGAGGAATATTAGCATTGATAAGACAGTGAAACACAGTTTCATTTTTTAATAGACTCAGCCTTCTCTTGAGCTGTCTCATCACAATTAGATCTTGGTTTTTAATAACTAGTAATGCTGTGCTATTTAAGTCTCACGTCTCCTCATCTCATGTCTACTCTTAGAGGAACTTAAAGCACTCTAGAAGGAAGTTTGTGAGGCATTTCTGTCAGGGCAGCTACTGGCTCCTTCTGTGGAATATTGACACAGGCCACAGAAATGAGGAAAAGATGGAACTGTGGAATCAACCTGTGAATAATTGAGAGGTTATAATAGCTCTCTCCCCTTGGTTGAGATTTTCAAAAATGGCTTGTGAGGAAAACCTAAGTTATCTTTGTAAAGCCTATTTTAGCACTCAAAACAAATATATATTTGACTCACAAAAGCTTTGAAAATTGTGTTTATTAAAAGATCTCTTTGACACCAAGAAAGTATTTTTGAAATATATTACAAATATATAAATATGTAATTAATATATAAATATTAAAAAGCTATAGCAAAATACACATCCCTTCTTCCATCCCCTCTTTGCTTTCTAAATTGTTATCCTTCCCATACATGTGTTTGCATAGTTTTTTCACAAATGTAGATACCCACAAACTGTAATCTGTTGAGTATGGTAAAAATTTTACATAATTTACCACTAAAGTATATATTTTATTAATTCACCTTATACTCAGATTTCCACTCCTCGTGGGAACTGTTGCTCAGTCTTTCCTTTTCCCTCTCAGTCTTCTCCTAGAATTTTATTTTGAAGTCAACAAGTTGTCCCATTCCCTTTTAGACACTGAGATATGTACTTCATCTAGCTGTTCCTCTGAATCCCACTTCACTACCTGGCTCAAAGAAGGTGAAGGAAGAAGAATTGTAAATACATAGCTAATAGTGCGTGCGTGTGTCTATGTGTTTCCCATGCCTATTTTATCCTTAAGTGAAGCTTTGGGTGAAATTTTCGTGTGTGTTTTTTGTTGTTGTTCTTACAGCTCAGTTCCAAGGAACAAAAATCCATTTCAAGAGGTAAGTTCATATAAAAATCTTCTGTCTCTGAAATGGAAGGATGAAAGGTAACCAAGCAGTCTTGAAGAATATCTTTGTCCTAAACATAGCTTTATGATGATTACTGTATGGCAGTCTTGATAAATCCAATTCCATGTACCTAAGATTCTTTATAAATGACAAATTCAAAAATAACTTTTGGAAAAAGCCCTTTGGATTTATTTGGTATTGTTTAATTGAAGGATGAAGTTTATTTTCCTCAGAATTGTTTCTGAAAAATCTCCACTTCATTTTACTACTCGATAGAAATTAGAAATTTATAAATTTATAGACTTTTCTAAGAAATAAATTTCTTTATAATTGAAGTAGCATCAGGCACTTAGGTAAAAAAATACTAGCCAGCAAGGGATCACATCCTAAGTTGTGGAATGGGCTCCAGACTATACCCCATGTTTGAGAGTTAAAATACTGTTTTAACTATTTCTTTTAACTTACCTATTTTTATTCTGTTTGCATTTTTAGGCAATTGTTTTTGTGGTGGGAGGAGGCAACTACATTGAATATCAAAATCTTGTTGACTACATAAAGGTACATTTGACCTTTATATTCTTTTATCATTTGAGGTTTCACAGTTGTTCCATGTCTTTAACATACTAACATTCTCTGGTGGCTCCCCTGATTCTTACATAACCCCTTTTCTAGAGGTAGTTTAAAAATCCAGCAGATAGGGAAAAATGCCCATATGTTCATTGTTTTCCTGTCACATTTCTGGCCTAAAATTTTACTTGATTTGGAAAATAATGTACCTTATTGATGTAATGTACTTTGCAGCTATCTTATTTTGACTTTAAATGTTTAGATACCTCAAATAAGCCCCTGTTCTAAAAATGTCTCCCTTGGTGAGATGATTTACCGAACCCCATTTACCTGAATAATAAGCACTTTTCTCTCATCTTATTGACCTAAGTCAGCAACATACTTCGAACAAACTTGGAATGTCTGCTTTTTCAGCAAACAGGTGCTTTAGAGGTAGCACGTTAGAAGTGGTGTGCTATTCAAAACTGACAGCAGCAGGGAGTGACAGACAACTAAGCAAAAGAATATGAAGGGAAGGGTGTAACTTGAAGAGCAAAAACACCATTTAAAATGTAGAGGCAACAGAACTAGTGATTGTTGCAATGACATTTTGTAATCTTCATTTAATTCACTTAATATTGAATAACGATTATTCCTTATGTCCTGTATTACATAAGACTTCAATAAAGGTAGAGGTTTTGGTACAGCAGTAGAAAAAAATACATAGGCAGATGTCACAGAGCTTCAAAACCACCAGGTACCTCCAAGGATCCTAGCTCAGTTGCACATAACATGCTTCAGAATGTGAACCACCACTAAGAGCTATACCTTGGTCTCGGGAGCATCCATCTTATACTAGGAGAGGTCTTTTATACCCCTCTCTGTTCATATAGCCAGAATCGGGCTGCATGACTAGGCTCAAAGGCAAAAACCACGGGAACATAACAGAAACCAGGTGTAAACCATCAATCTGTACAATTTTTAAACAGTGCTGACAAACTAGTGCAAGTTGTCCCTTGGTCTATCTGTGAACCTTGGGCAGGACTATATTAATCTATTTCATTCAGATTTGGCCAAGGGTCAACAACATGATTGGTTCCAGGTGTGTTCCCAAGGATAAACACAGGGTTACAACAGACCAGCTGAAATTAATCCTGTACTTATACCCCATCCTTGGTTAAGCTTTCTTAATTACATTTGTCAGCATTCTTTCTGCTTTTTTCTTTTACATTATAGGACAGAAAAACAGGAAGGATAAAAACCAAAATACTAACAAATACTAACCATTTGTTACACCTGAAATGCAGGTATAACTTTAAAGAAACATTGCAGTTTACCAGATATTCCAGTGCAAACTTGTTTTTAATCATGTATAGGCCTCACAACTCTTACCTCTCTCCACCACAGAAATTTTAACTTTGTGAAATGTATTAATAAGTTGAATCAATGTAACAATTAATTGTTTATTAACTAAGTCTAGTTCTTTCTCTGATCAATCACCTCCATCAGAACAACATCAGGGTTATCAGTGGTAGATATGTAAGCCCACCAAGTTATTCTTTACTTGGTTTCAGGTTACAAAATATTTTTTTTACCTTGATTATTACCCTCCACCCACCAAAACATGGTGTATAGGTAGTAGGGCACATGATACTATGACTCATCAGGCATGTAACAGGAATTTTATGTCCCTGTATCCAGGCACCTTTCTTAACAGATCATCAATCAGGTTCATATTTACACAATGGTCTTTGGCTCTTTTGTTGAACAGATTCTTTTGTATGCCTTTGAGCAGCAACAATATCCTAATTTTGCCTCCCAAAAGGGGTCCTCTGAAATATATAAAACCTGTAAAATGAGAATACGTAAAACAAAAGGAAGCATTAGAATTATTCTAGGTGTTTATCCCCTAGATGTTATTGGCATCATCAAAACATAGCACGTGAATAAGCCCAGATTAAATCTTTCATAAACCTCCCAGAACCCATCTTGGACCTTCAGCTTCAAATAAAGGAGGCTATTTCTGCAGGTGTTATGGGCATCTATAAATATAGGTAAGAGTATTATTCTCTTGCTGTCAGCCTCTTGCAAGGTACCAAGATAATATTAGCTTTTTTTTTCTTTTTTTGGTATTATTTACTTATTGGTTACCTTCCTGAGAATCAAGACTTCTCCATCGTCCATGTGTCATTAATTCTTACCCAGAATTTGGCCCTTGGTTTAGAAGACGATCAGATTCAGCAAGACGCCTGATCCATAGAGCTGGCAACAGTATGAGATTGGCCAGTACTTTCCCCTTTCTTCATTCCCAGTCACAGGAGGCAGGTTGGATAAGTGCGAGTTTATAGGACTGTGTTATCCACTGGTTAGTACAGATGCAGAAACTATTAATCCCAGTTTACACAGATGAAAAGAAACATCCCATTCCATCATTCCTCAGACAGATTTAGAGGTATTGTCTTGATGTCTTGTTTGCAGTTAATCCTTTCTTCAGACCTTATAAATGTGATTCATGTCCCTGTACTACAGGATCAGGCAGAGAAAAAGAAACATTTTTAGAAATGCAGGAGAAATTTTTAGTGGTTTCTGTGTTACTACCCCACTTCCTCCCTCCCCTGTTTCTCCTACGGTATCTCAACAACCTCTTTGCTGTTGATTCCCCTTTTAGTTAAATGCCTGTTATGTTTTAACACACATTCTGTCATGCAAGCCACTCTTTCTGTCTCTTATTAGAAAGAGATGTGCCTAATTTAGAAAGTAGATGTTTCAAATGTCAGTTTCAGTTTTCAGTCAGTCCACTACTTTGTGTTTGGTAAGGTATATGATGTCGGTCTATTGTGTACGCTTCTTAGCATGCTGTTGAACTGCACCTGCAGCAAAATGGGTTTCTTTGTCAAGTGATGTACATAAAGGAAGTCCAAATTGAAACAGTTTCTGCTGTGATGTTAAAGGTGTTAAAGGTATTTGCTTTAGTCACCAGGTGTGTAAGTCCAAATCCAAAATGAGTGTCTATTCTGGGTAAAACCTATTGCTGTCCACCTGGAACCATAGGTAATAGGCCAGTGTAATTCTATGTAAACATGTATTTGGAATTGCTGGGTCATAATAACTGTGTTTAACCATGTGAGGAACTGCCAGATTGTTTCCAAAAATAATGTAAAATGCACCATTTTACATTCCCACCAGCAGTGTATGAGGGTTCTGATTTCTCCACATCATTGCCAGGACTTATCTGACTTTTTGATTTCGGCTGTACTAGTGGGTGTGAAGTGGTGTCTCATTGTGGTTTTGATTGCATTTCCATGATGACTTAAATGATGTCAAGCATCTTTTCATGTGCTTATTGGCCATTTATATATCTTCTTTGGAGAAATGTTTATTGAGATCCTTTGCCCATTTTTTAATTGGGTTATTTTGCCTTTTTACTACTGACTTGTAAGAGTTCTTTATATAATCTAGATACAAGTCCCTTATCTTGATATATGATTGCAAATATTTTCTCCCATTCTTTGATCTTTTCTCCTTCTACCTGGTGTCCTTTAAAGTACAAACCTTCATTTTTTTCTTTTGTTGCGTGTGCTTTTGGTGTCGTATGTAAGAATTCTTTGCCAAAGCCAAGGTCATGAAAATTTACTCCTGTGTTTTCTTCTATAGGTTTTATAGTTTTTGCTCTTACATTTAGGTCTTTGATCCATTTTGAGTTAATTTTTGTATATAGAAAAAAGTCCAGTTCATTCTTTTACATATGGCTATCCAGGTTGTCCTAGCACCATTTATTGAAAAGACTATTTTTCCCCACTGAGTGGTCTTGTAATAGAGGGAGGCAGTATGCAGCCCTTAGCACGAAGCCTTTGCTGGGTGCTGTTACTGGGCAACCCATTACCAGGCAACAGTTACTGAGAGACCACTAACTAGAGCCGGGGTTAGGAGGTCCCGCTCAGTCATTGGTCGGCAGAGTGGTGGTCAGGCGGAGCGAGGTAAGAGGCAGATCCTGGCCTCCTCCCTGGGGCCCTCCAGCTCACCTAGCCTCAGGCCAGTGGATGAGCTGGAGGGCCCCAGGGAACAGGCTGGGGGCTGTGTCCTGCAGGGCTCTAGAGCCCTCGCCAAGGCCACCACACTGGCCAGGCACAGGCCTTGAGGCGGCGGTGAACCTCTCCCCCATCCCTACCTCCATGACCTGATGGCGGTGGCAGTCTGCATGGGACACAGTCTGCGGGACCTGGCCCCCGCCATATGGGCGGCCTGAGGAGCCTGAGGGCCAGTTGAGTCCTGGGTGCCTGGCTCCCTCAGTGATGACAGCTGGGCAGGGTCTGGGGACCTGGCCCTGAAGGAGCCACCAACTGAGATCTGCCTCCTCTTAGCCAGGACCTGGACCTTGGAAGGTGAAAGTTGTGCCTTGGGACCTTGCCCTTTCTTGTCAGAACAGAGAATAACATTTGTTTGGTGGAGATTTACAGGAACATGGTTACCTAACCATGACCTGACCTCAAGAACAAAGGATCTGACACCAAGAAGTTTGCAACAACTAACCAAGCCCTCCCTCACTTCTCCTATAAAAAGGTCTTCACTGAAAGCTTTCAGGGAGTTTGGGGTTTTAAAGGCATGAGCCACCCATCTCCTTGCATGGCCCTGCAATCAACCTTTCTCTGTTCCAAACTTCGACGTTTTGGTATTGTTTGGCCTCACTGTGCGTCAGGCACATGGACTTGTGGTTTGGTAACAGTCTTGGCAGGCTTGTTGAAAATCAGTTGACCATACATGTATGGGTTTATTTCTGGACTCTCAACTCTATCCCATTGATCCATAGGTCTGTCCTTGAGCCGGTACTACACTGTAGTGAGTTTTGAAATCAGGATATATGAGTCTTCCTACTTTATCCTTTTTCAAGATTGTTTTGGATTTTCTGGGTTCCTTGCAATTCCATATGAATTTGAGGATCAGCTGTTAATGGCAGTTGGATTCTGATAGGGATTGCGTTGAATCTGTAGATAAGATGAAAATACTCCCCAAAACTTAACACTATTAAGTCTTCTAATCCACGACGTGGAACGTTTTTCCGTTCATTTAGATCTTTTTCTTTCAACATTTTTTGGTTCCTTTGCAGTTTGTTGTTATTTTCAGAGTTTAAGCTTTGTATTTCTTTGAGGTTTACTCCTATGTATTTTTTTATGCTATTATGGATGGAATTGTTTTCATTTCATTTTTGCAACTGTATAGAAATCTGATTGTTATATATTGATCTTGTGTCCGGCAACCCTATTGAACTCATTTATTAGTTCTGATGGTTTGTGGGTTTTTTTGGATTTTTAGGATTTTCTATATACAAGATCATGTTATCTCTGAATAGAATTAGTTTAACTTCTTCCTTAACCTATCTGGAATGTTTTTCTTGCCTAACTACCCTGGCTAGACCCTCCAGTACAATATTTAAGAGTCCGGAGCAGACCTCTTTATCTTCTTCCTGATCTTAGGGACAAAGCATCCAATCTTTCACCATTAAGTTTGCTGTTACCTATGGGTTTTTCATACAGCCATTAATGTTTAGTAGCTGCTAAGCCATGTAGTTTAATTATCCTGAGAATTCTTTGTTTTTTAATCCTGTTTGGTTTTACTGTTTCCTTTGTTCTGAGTAATCTTCATCTTCATCTTCTTCCTATCATTCAGCCCCATTCAGGGGAAACTGAGCTAGTAGGTCTATGACAGCCTCCCTCATGACATCGGAAACCCATGTTAGTGCAACCTTGTAGTATGAAACAAAACTTACGGCTTATGCCTACAAGAGACTTGTAATTGAGAATGTATCTAACATGGCACTTGATTTATACCAGTTCACAAAACAACGGGCAAGTGCCATTTTTGTTGGGAAGGCAAAGAAAATACTATAATGATTCTAGGTGATTTATTTAGTAATGATGTTAGTCTGACTTACAATGTAACTGCTATTTGGTATAACACTGATGTATTTGATAAAAATTAAATGGATTGATTTTTAACAAGACATTTGATAATACTGATATCAATGACCAAATGTATTGGGAATTTTACTTAAAGCCACCACAAGTTGTTCTTTTGATGGAAGGTGATTGGCTAGAGAATTAACTAGATTTAGTTAATAATTAATAGTTACATAGAATCAAGGTATTAGTACATTAGTTCAATTTTTAATGGCAGGAAGAAATATCAAATTTGTGCATAATTAAGAATAAATTTACACTGAAATATTACTAAACTGAGGTGTTAAAAATTAAAGCTATACCTACCTTACTGGATGATCAAAAGATTAGAATTTTTGTGTTTATCTTTGTTTTTGTATTCTATAAATGCTATAAAAGATGAAAAATGATGACAAATAATTAGAATTAAGCAAGCTTGTCAAGGGTGGAGAGGGAATGTACTTATATAAGCACAAGATTAATCTCAGCTAGTTAATATACCCTGTGCTAATGTTAGGCCAACCCTGAATGAAATGTATTAACTAGTGTTTAAAATAGGCCTGTGCTAGGGTCCAAGCTAGACTAGGGGGCAACTTGCACTAGCTTGTCAACATTCTTTAATGGAAAATGTAAAGATTGATTTGCACCTGGTTTCTGTCATGTTTTCTTGTTTCTGCTGTTAAGCCTATTCACGCAGCCTGATTCTGGCTATGTGATCAGAGAGGTATAAAAAAAACCCTTCCTTGGACAAGACTGGGGCTCCACTGAGACCAGGGTATCTCCACTGTATCTTGGTGGTTCACAGCTGAAAATGAAATGTGTCATATTACTGAGATGGGGTCCTGGGAGCTGTGCCTAGAAGTTTTGGACCCCTCTAATGTTTCCCTATGTACTGTGACCTCTACCCTTTTGTGAGTACAGCCTCAAGAATCCCAATTATATGACCCTATTTTATGGCTGCACATACCATCTCATTTTGAAGAAAAGGAGAGTGAGGTGTGACTCTCGTTTTACTTGTTCTCAGAGAAGGTCAGCTAGAACATTTATTCAGCCAGCGATGTTATTCGGCTCATACATCACAGAGAAATGTCCTTATCTTGTATTACAAAGCTGTAATTCTTTTTGTTCCTGATTAATTAATCATATTTGCTTTGTTATGGAATAAGCTTTTTACTTTACAAAAAAAATCTTACAAATTTACATTCAAGTTCACAATACATGTAAGAATTTCAGCATTAAGAACTTACCAAAATTCTCCATCAAAAAGTTTGACTGCTTGTAATTGGGTTCCAACATTCTGTCAAAATTCAGAATGAAATTCATAGAGTTACAGAATGGAATAGGGTATATTAAGACATAAATACTGTATTATCACAAATGAGTCTGAAATGACAGTCCATGCGACTCACACCATATCCTACTTTCAGCGTAACAAAACTTGAAGAATGCTTTCTTCAAGTAGTTACAGATCTTACATTGGAAGAATGTTGGCCTAAGATTTTATAAATAATTGTGGCTCCCATGAAATGTGTCAGTAATCACATTCCTTCTATTTTCAGTGTAAATGGCACTAGAAGTGTACCTACCACCTATATTTTGAAGAAAAAAAAAAAACTATGCCCATCTCACTCCTTTATTCCATGTAATTTTAGGATAGACATGTGTACACTAAAATCCAATACTCCCCCCCCAAAAAAGTAAAACTTTTAAGAATAACCAAAAGTCTTATTAGGTTTAACCCCTCTTCTTGGGAATATTGAAAATATTACTTGTTACTTGTATCTGAGTTCTGTATCTGATTTTTTTACAGGGGAAACAAGGCAAGCACATCTTATATGGCTGCAGTGAACTTTTTAATGCTACACAGTTCATAAAACAGGTAAAGTGTACTTTTTAGTTTGTTTCTGTTAACATACCCTAAGTTGCTGTTGATATTTTTCAGAAGAGAGCAAGATAATCATGTTCATCTGAACCAGCTGAAACTAAAAGCCATAGAGCTAAAAGAATGTAAGGTTGTACCATGGACAACTATAAAGGAAACTCTTATAAGTAACATTATTTCCATTATCCCAAATCTATGAAAAGGTAAATTTAATTCAGAAAAATTTTAATTGGAGTAGTGTTACTCACTTAGGCTAAATTCATTTCAGCATTTCCTTGACATACTGTCCACATTTCTGACTTTGCCGAGCTGAGAAATTAAGTAACCTTATTAAGGGGTTGTATGTGCTCAGTTGATACAGCAGAATTACATTCACCTTGAAAGTTAATGACAGCAGTAGCTGAGGTGTACAGTCTTTACATTCTTTTACTATTGTTTCCATGACTGTTCTCAGTAATTACATTAACTTCAACTTTTTAAAGCTTAAACTACCTGAGAGGCTCAATAGGCTGACCAATAATATCCATTCACCCTTACCTTGGCTGCCATAAAAATCATAACTGTACCCTGTGCTCGTTTTTAGCAGCTCTTCCTAGCATCTTTTTCTAGCACAAGTTTCTTACCCACATTATATGGTTCTTGTATTTTTAACCTTAATGAGGTGGCCCAGTGGTATTGTGAGAATTTCAGACATACAGAAAAACTGAAGAGAATTTGCACTGAACACGTGCATACTCCCCATTAACATTTTATTGTACTTGCTTTATAAGATACCTATCCATCTTTCCATTCTTCATTCTATTCCTTGCTCCACCTGTACTAATTTCAAAGTAAATTGTAGCTATCAGTACACTTCCCCCATAATACTTCATTGCCAATATCATTAACTAGATTTCATTATTTGTTTAGTTTGTTGTTGTTGTTGTTTTACCTTTGGAGATAAAATTTACAATAGTGAAATACACGTATCTTAAGTGTACATTCCTAACTTTGTCAGATGTTTCGTTCACCTGAGTATAACCCAAACCCCTATCAAGATACAGAACCATTACACCACAGAGTTCCTTTATGGCCTTTGCCAGTCAATCCTTGCTCCTAGTCAAAGCCTGCTCCCAAAACACTGTCTTGATGTTTTTCCACCATAGATTAGTCTTGTCTGTTTTAGAACATCATGTAAACGGAATTTTTCTTCGTTAGATTAACTAGAAGATTCTCAATTTTATTAATTTTTAATGAAGCAGATGATGTTAATGCTAATTTTCTCTCTTTGTTTTCTTCTTTTTAACCCTTGAATTTTATTTTATTTTTTTTGAATTTTACTTTTTTTTTTACACTGGAGGTTCTTATTACTTATCTATTTTGTACTCTATTTGTTTTCTGTTCCTTGGTTTCTACTTTTTATTATTTCCTTTGTGTTGATTACTTTGGGTTTACATTGTTCTTCTTTTACTAGCTTCTGATATTGGATAATCATTAAGTCATTAACTTTAGCTTTTCTTTTCTAAAATAAACATTGAAAATCATAAAATTTAAACTGTTGCCAAACACTGCTTTAGTCACATTCTACAAATGTTGATGTTATGTTTTTATTACCATTGTTGGAAATATTTTTAATTTACCTGGTAGTTTATTCTTTAGCCCATGTATAGAGATCTATTGTTTCAAGTATTTGTGGGTTTCTAGATATCTTACTCTTACTGATTTCTAATTTAATTCCCTTTTTGTCATAGAACATTCTATATGTAAGTTCATTATTGCAGAATTTATTTAAATTCCTTTTCTGGCCCAACATATGGTCTATCTTGTTAAGCACTCCATATGCACCTAAAAAAGAACATGCATTATGCAGAAGTTGAAGGAAGGGTTCTATAAACATTAATTTGGTCAAGGTAGTTGATAGCATTACTTAGATCCTCTATGTCTTTATTTTTATTTTTTTTTGGTCTAGTTCTATCAGGTATTGAAAGATTGGTATTAAAATCTCTGACTGTGATTGTGGAATTGTCTCTTCCTTTAGTTCTGTCAATTTCTGCTTTTTGTGTTTTTAAGTTCTGTTATTAGGTACATACAGACTTATTATTGTATATTCCTGATGAATGGATTCTTTTATATGCAGTATTCCTCTACATATCTGGTAGTGCTCTTTGTCTTGAGGTCTGCTTTATCTGACATTAATATAACCACCCTAGCATTCTTACACTTAGTTTGCATCTTATAACTTTTCCGTCTGTTTACTTTCAACTTGTCTATGCATTTATATTTAAAGCATATATCTTGTAGGTAGAATATAAGTGGATCTTGTGTTGTTTTTTTTAAACCATTATACAGTCTCTTTTAATTGGAGTCTATTGGTCTATTAACATCTAATGTAATTATTAATATGATTAGATTTAGGTCTAGCACTTTACTGTTTCCTCTTTCCTACCTTTCTTTGTATTATTTGAACACTTTTTAGAATTCCACTTTAATTCATCCATAGATTTTTTTTTTTTAGCTATATCTCTGCATTACAAATTTAGGGTTGCTCTGTTATGCCACTTGCGTTAAATGTAGAAACCTTGCAACCATACATACCCTCAACATTTATGCTGTGATTGTCATATTTTACATCTACATACATCATTAACCTCACAAGACAGTGGACAGTGTTACCATTTGTGCTTCAGTCATGTTTATAACAAAGACATAAATCTTTGCATTTATATGGATATAAATTCCAGTGCTCTTCATCCCTACTTATAGCTTCTCTTTTTTTTTTTTTTTTTTTTTGGCTGCATTGGGTCTGCATTGCTGCATGTGGGCTTTCTCTAGTTGCTGCGAGTGGGGTCTACTCATTGTTGCGATGCACAGAAATTCTCATTGCAGTGGCTTCTCTTGTTGCAGAACACAGGTTCTAGGTGCGTGGGCTTCAGTAGTTCTGGCACGCAGGATGTAGTGCACAGGCTCAGTAGTTGTGGTGCACGGGCTTAGTTGCTCCGCAGCATGTAGGATGTTCCTGGACCAGGGCTTGAACCTGTGTCCCCTATATTGGCAGGCAGATTCTTAACCACTGTGCCACCAGGGAAGTCCCCCTACTTATAGATTTTAATTTCCATCTGTTGACTGAAAACCTTTTAGCATTCACTGTAGCTCTGGTATGCTAGCAGTGAGTTCTCTTAATTTTTTATTAGATGAAAATGTCTTTATTTCACCTTTATTCTTAAATAATTTTATATATATATATATGCACACACACACATCTGTACATATATACATATATATAAATATTTTTTCTGGATACAAATTTCTGATAGTTTTTCAGCACTTTAAAGATGTCAGTCCGCTGTCTTCTGTCTTTCATTGTTTCTTATAGGAAGTCAGCAGCCATTCAGATCAGTGTAAATTTTTTTTTAACATCTTTATTGGAGTATAACTGCTTTATAACAAAGTGAATCAGTTATAATTTACCTATATCCCAGTATCTCTTCCCTCTTGCGTGTCCCTCCCTCCCACCCCTCTAGGTGGTCACAAAGCACCTAGCTGATCTCCCTGTGCTATGAGGCTGCTTCCCACTAGCTATCTGTTTTACGTTTGGTAGTGTATATATGTCCATGCCACTCTCTCACTTTGTCACAGCTTACCCTTCCCCCTCCCCATATCCTCAAGTCCATTCTCTAGTAGGTCCGTGTCTTTATTCCAATCTTGCCCCTAGTTCTTCATGACCTTTTTCTTTAGATTCCATATATACGTGTTAGCATACAGTATTTGTTTTTCTCTTTCTGACTTACTTCACTCTGTATGACAGTCTCTAGGTCCATCCACCTCACTACAAATAACTCAATTTCGTTTCTTTTTATGGCTGAATAATATTCCATTGTATATATGTGCCACATCTTCTTTATCCATTCATCTGTTGATGGACACTTAGGTTGCTTCCATGTCTTGGCTATTGTAAATAGAGCTGCAGTGAACATTTTGGTACATGACTCTTTTTGAAGAGTTTTCTCAGGGTCAGATCAGTGTAAATTTATATGTAATGCGTAATCTCTCTCTGGTGCTTTCAAGATTTTATCATTATCTTTGGTTTTCAGCAATTTAATTATAATGTATCTATGCATGACTTCTGTGTATCTTGCTTGGGGATCACTGAGCTTCCTGAGTCTATAAATTTATACCTTCACCAAATTTAGGGAATTTTCAGCTGTTAGTTCTTCAAGAATTTTTATGCCCACTTTTGTCTCTCCTTTTGGGACTCCATTTACATTTATGTTTAACTGTTTATAGTGTCCCACAAATCCCTGAGGATGCTGTTCTTTAACGTCTATAAGTTACTCTGTCTTCAGATTCAATAAGTCTTTCTTCTGCTATCTCCATTCTGCTGTTTGATGTATTTACCAGTTCTTTAATTTTCACTTGGATTTTTTTTAAATGTAGTTTATATTTTTATGTTGAGATTTCCTTTTTTCATTCATTGTGAGCCTAGTTTTCATTATTTCATTGAAGATATTGTCCTAGCTGCTTCTAAAACGTGGTCTACTATGGGCCCACTCTTGGGGTCCAGTGGTTAAGACACTGCACTTCCAATGCAAGGGGCACAGGTTCGATCCCTGGTCAGGGAAGTAGGATCCCATATGCCATGCGGCATGGCCAAAAAAAAACCCTGTTCTATTAATTACTACACATGGATCATCTCACTGTTGGTTTCCATTGTCTTTCCCCCTAGAGAATGGCTCCATTTTCCTGTTTCTTCATATATTTACTAATTTTAGATTGTATCCTTTACATTTTGAATGTTGTATTTTGGAAACTGAATTCTATTTCTCTGAAGAGTGTTGGTCAAACCCAAAGTTCAAACTCTGTCTCTTGGGTAGCAGTTCAAATCTCACCTGTTTGTTTGTTAGTCTGTACAGTCTGTTGCCCCCAAACTCTTTCCTCTGGTTTTTCAGTCCAGAAAGACTGCAGGTTTTCTGTCAGTTTTAGCTGCCAGTATAGCACCAACTGTGGCCTG